ACTAAAGTAGAGATATCTGTTGCACGCTTGAAAGCATATCTGGCATTTTGTGTATTTGTGGGTGTAGTAGTGGTGCAACGACCATTAACTATTCGTGGATTATCACTTCACTTTTGTTGTTGTGAGTTTTCTCTTTTTAGGTGGAAATGTTTGCATGTCCTTTATTAAAGCAATAACGCGTTAATGGCTTATTAATTGCTACACTAACAAATTCAAGCCATACTTCACTGATTGTGCTACAGCGGTTTATGCATGGTTAGGTGCGTGGTCTTAGTGGGAGTTTTTGTTATAATTTATTATTAATAACAAAACCCAGTTTTGCATTAGGTATGTGCTGTCTTTCTATTCACCGATTATTKTACCGTTGTAATACCCTTCACAAATACAATAGATACCTTACAAGAACGTGTGGAACTTTAATCTGAACTAAAGCTCCTGCCTTGTGATACCTCTGTCAAGTATTACGTCTGGGGGGGGAAGGTTGAGGTGATTGTCACCCAACCCTTTTTGGCTGCTCCAGTCATGGTTTGTGTGTCGCGTCTTAGTTGTTCGTTGCATTTTGTAGTAGTCTTCGTCATTGTTGCTCTCCGGCTTTCTGGTATTTTATTATTTTGGCTGCCACTTCGGASACGGCTTTAATACATATCTAGTGATTCCTGAATTTGAAACATTAGATTTTCTGGGGTTGGGTCTATTCTGATCGCGCTTTTTTTTTTTAAATTTTCCTTACTTCGTCGTATTTTACACAATGAAACAGAGTGTGTTCTACATTCTCGATGATCTCACCTTCGCAATAATCGCTTATATCGCTGTCTTTGTGTTTAAATCGCTTCAATTATGATTTTAAATAGCYGATCTATTTAGCCATAATGCTATATTGTGGATTAGTCGGAATATTCAGAGACCATTTCGGCTGTCTTCCCATCATTTTTGCCAGTATTTCTCCGTGTCTGCTCTGGCTTTCTCTGTTTGGGTTCTGGGTGTTACTCTCTCGTTTAAAGGGTATGTGATCTCTTTGGCTACGAGATCTAGTGGGTGTATGCTCGCGAATACTAAAACAGCATCTTTGGATGTACGAAACGCGGAGCATACATTTAATGCGCATATGATGTACGTGGAAAATAGGCCGCATCGATGCGATTAGATTTCGAAGGCTTTCTCCCATATTTGGGCGCCGGATAGAACAACTGATCTTAATACGCATGCTAGCAGTCTTATTGAGCATTAACCGGGTTAAAGCTTTACATACTTTTGTAGCTTTTTCGCACGTATAAGCCAGCGGTTCTTTAAACGACGATCTCGCATCAAAAACAATTCTCAAATATTTGATGGCTGAGTGAGTGCTTATGCTTGTACCCTTCGTGGCGAACATAGCAACTTCTCGGGTTTTGTATGCAGCTATACGCTTTACGAAGTTTCTCCAAAAAATATCGCGATTTTTTTATTTCTTAATAAATTACTTATTTATTCAAGAATTATGTATTTTAAAGTAATTCCTTTCAAAGCAATCACATCTAGAAACATGGCACTTCTGCCACYATTTCCTCCACTCCTCAACGCACTTAAAAAAGAATTATTTATCACCACAACCGTAACGTAGCACCGCCCTTTCATAAGCCTCTTCAATTTTGGGAGCAAAAAAGTCAGAAGCAGTTTGGGGAACATGGTGGCACCATTAAGTTGTTCATTTTTRGCCAAATTTTTGCACACAAACAATGAAGCGTGAGCTGGACAAATATAACAACAAACATTTTTTGGAAAATCTAATTTTTGTTTTTCCAAAAATCCGGGCCCTTCTGCAGGAGTGTTTCAAGCAAATTGGGCATAAATTGTAGGTAAGATAATTCATTGACCGTACGACCCTTTGGCAAGAACTCACGAAGCACAACTGTTTGCAAAACTATCACATTCAGCATAACTTGGCATGCTTTTTACGATCTTGGCTCATGTTATAACCCTTTGGACAACTGACTCATCGCTTATTGAGTCTAACGTGTCCAGAGCAATGTCAAATGCGACGCTATTTTTGGTCGAAACTGAGCAATTTTTTCATAAAAATTTAAGTGAAAAATATTAACCATAGTAAACATTCAAAGTGGTCGACCTTTACGATTTCACGAAGATATCTCGTCAACTGAAAGATGTGAACCATTCCTTTGGAGATTTTAGCATKTTTGTGGGCATTTTTCAGTGTCAGTTGTTCGGCAGCTTTATCCAATGTGGATGATTCTGTCAAATAAGAAGTTTCTTGGGCAAAAGAGAACGAGTGCAAAGTTTTAAATCGTTAACTCAAAAACTGAGTGAGTAGTTCACCTACATGCTAACAGCCAGGCGGATAGAAGTATCCGCTAAGTGAGGTGAGTCTCAARCCAAAAAAATTAGTATTAAATTTTTTTATGAATTTAGCTGTCTGTCCAGCCAAAGGTCGTAATTTATCATTTTAGTAAATAATTCAATATTTGAAGACAATATGGAAGGCAGCAGTCGAGATATAAAATATTTTTATTTAACCCAAATATTTAAGCTTCTTTATTTACTTATTATGCAAATAGTTGAATAACTATGACATTATCAAACGCTACTTGTCTCTATTTGTAAGGAATTGTAAAAGTTGTTGCAAATCAAAAGCAAGAATAAATTCAATCTTTAGAACACTAAAATCCCAGTGGAAAACAAACTTTGCAAATTTACCAAATTTTGCTCGAGTTGAATTTCTTCGAATAAAAACTTATATATTTACTACTCGCTTTGGTGATTGTATGTGCGTGTGAGTGYGTGTGTGTGTATACCATGATAGTAATTACTAAAACTGCCAGCCACATGCAAACACCTCAAGCTTTTTGTATAGCAACCAAAATGGTTTTTCCCACATGTAGCATATAGCATGTGGCGTGCGGTGTGCGGTATGTGGCATGTAACATATGTCATAAGCACAAAGTAGCACCTCAACTCCATTCAATAGGATTAGTTTCTTTTCATGCCGAGTTATGTTCACTTTCGTGCTATCATAGGTGGAATGCCACAAAGGCACACATATACACGCCAGCACTTTTCAGCTAAGCAAGCTCTGATGGCAATGTTGGTACAATTTTCAACTCTTCCAACGTGGCTTCAATKTGCATATGTGTGTGTATGTAAATCAACTGTTTTTGGTGTAAAAGCCGATATTGCTGGTAGATATATATTATATGCATGGTTGACTTCATCATCTGAAGCACACATGAAAGTGCTACAAATATATCGTATATACATATACACTACCTGTGTGGTCACATGTGTGATGAGTGTATAGTTACATACATATATGCTTGTGGTTGAACATTCCGACTGTTGTCTGGGAAAATTCAGGCATACGTTCAAATATGTATGGCGTATGTCTTTACGCGTACAAATATATATACGTGTATTTGTACTTACATGTATGTATGTACGTATACGCCCAGGTTCTTGCTGTTGTAATACGAACACACTGGTACAATTCAATTCGTTCCATCGAAGAGGAAGTAATTGCCATCGATTGATGTCAACGACATTATTCCGGCGATGTTGCAACAATGGCAACCAAAATCGACACAYAACACACACAAAATGTTGTGGGTGGAGTAGTGTCTGGAAAGGCATGGCTTTCGAACAGGTACAGGCAAGGCTATTGTTGCGTTAAATTCGAACGCTTTGTACTTTAATGAATAGATTGCCTGCAAATAGCGGKGTGTGTGGCCCAATTTTGAGTAAAATAATACATTAATCGATTTCCAGGTAGCTTTAGGAAATTAGTTTTATTCATAAAGAATTGAGAATGCCTATTTTAATTCGAAAGCAAACGATTGCCAACAAATTAAAGATACAATTTTTACAAATTTAATAGTCAGGAAGTTTTAATAGAGAGCTCCTGTGAGCTCAATCTTAACAAGTCAAGTCAAGTGCTGGTCATCCAGAAAGCCGCGAGATAATCACCTAGAGGACACGTTGCTCCGAAAGTGAGCATGAAGGAACATTCGAAGTTTATTCTCGCTGCTCATTTACGTCTCTAAGACAACTCGGAAAGACGGGGTTCTGCGAGAAGCGTCTGAATCTAGAAGACTTATGGCAGCCCTCCACTTTTTCACATACTCTTTTCCATGAAGTCCCCTTTGATTTCCTTAACTCGGAATATTGCATACAACGCCCAGTTGTCAGTTGACCCCCTCCTAAGAGCCTTGTTGAATAAAAGTCTGCAAGTTGCTCTGATATCCGAGAGTTTTATAGTCCTCCAGAGAGATTTCCCCCTGCCTTTCGACGTGGGCAGGAGATTTAAAGTGCAGTTTCACATGCCGAGCTAACGACTTCGACCCACCCACCTACCGTGTCGGTAGTGAACAAATATATGATCAATTGTATGTTATTTTTTGGATTAATTTTGGAGCATCATGTATAAGTATCATGTTACCTTTTCTTCACAACTCCTATTTATATGGTTACATATACCCTTTAGCGTAACAGAAACAGAACGATTGCACCAGCAGTACAAAAACTGGATGTA